CTAATTGCTCTTGCTAAAACTTTCAGTACTATATTAAGTAAAAGTGATGAAAGTGGACATCCTTGTCTTGTGCCAGATAACTGGAAGTGTTCAGTATGATACTAGCTGATGGTTTGTCATATATATAACCTTTATAATTTTGATGAATAGTTCTTCAATACCTAATTTGTGGACAGTTTTTAACATGAAGGTGTGTTGAATCTTATCAAATGCTTTCTCTGCATCTATTGAGATGACCATACAGTTTTATTCTTCATTCTTTTGATGTGACTTATGGTGTTTATTGATTTGCCAATGTTTAACCACCCTTGCATTTCTGGGATAAGTCCCACTTGATTGTGATGTATGATCTTGAATTGGTTTTGGATTCAGTTTGCTAATATTTGTTGAGAATCTTTGCTTTTATGTTCATTAAGGAAATAGGCCTGTGTTTTTATGTTTTTATGTCTGGTTTTGCTATCAAAGTAATGTTGACCTCATAAAAAAAAGTTTGGCAGTGTTTCATCCTGTTCAATATTTAGAATACTTTGAAAAATACTGGAATTATCAGTTCCTCTTTAAATGTTTAGTTGAACTCATTAGTAAAGCCATCAGGTCCTGAAGTTTTCCTTGATGGAAGACTTTCTATTACTGCTTCAATCTCATTGCTTGTTATGGGTCTGTTCAGATTGTTTGTGTTTTTGATTTAATCTTTGTAGGTTATATATATTCAGGAGTCTATCTATCCATTTCTTTGAGGTTTTCCAGTCTATTGAGATGTAGTTTTTCCTTGAAGAAAAATAAAGATGTTATTTATTAATTTGAAAGCAGAGTTAAACAGAGAGAAGTAGAGGTAGAGGGAGAGAGAGAGAGAGGGGTCTTCCATCTGCTGGTTCACTCCCCAATTGGCCGCAACAGCCAGAGCCGCGCCATTCCAGAGCCAGGAGCTTCCTCGGGGTCTCCCACAAAGGTGCAGGGGCCCAAGGACTTGGACCATCTTGTACTGCTCTTCCAGGCCACAGCAGAGAGCGGAATCAGAAGAGAAGCAGCTGGGACTCGAACCAGCTTTACCTGGAATACCACAGTGCTGGCCCATGGCATATAGTTTTTCATAATCATTTCTTATGATCCTTTGTATTTCAATAGTTTTAGCTATAATGTCTATTCTTTTTCTTGGCTAGTCTTGGTAGAGCTTTATCTGATTTGTTTAACTTCTCAAAAAACCAGCTTTTGGTTTTGTTGATCTTTTATACTTATTTTCGTTTCAATTTCATTTCCTTTTCGCCTCATGCTGATTTGAGGTTTGATTTGTTCTTGTTTTTCTAAGTCTTATAAATGCATCATTACATCTTTGAGACATTTCTTATTTTTAATGTGAGCACTTAATGCCATAAACATCCCTCTTAATACTGCTTTTGCTGTATCCCACAGGTTTTGATATCTTGTGTTTTCATTTATTAATGTTTTTTATTTCCTTTTTAATTTCTTCATTCACCCATTGACCATTCAGTAGCACGTTTAATTTACAAGTATTTAAGAGTATTGTTCTTGTTGATTTATAATTTTATTCCTTTATGAGAAGGATAAGATAATGAGAAGATACATGATATGTTTTCAGTCTTTTTAAATTTACTGAGACTTGATTTATGGCCTAATATGTGGTTCATCCTAGAAAACGTTCCGTGTGCTGATGAGAAGAATGCATGCATTGGGTAGAATGTCCTTTTTTTTTTTTTTGACAGGCAGAGTTAGACAGTGAGAGAGACAGGGAGAAAGGTCTTCCTTTTTCCATTGGTTCACCCCACAAGGGGCCACTACGGCCGGTGCGCTGTGGTCCGAAGCCAGGAGCCAGGTGCTTCCTCCGGTCTCCCATGCGGGTGCAGGGCCCAAGCACTTGGGCCATCCTCCACTGCACTCCCAGGCCACAGCAGAGAGCTGGACTGGAAGAGGAGCAACTGGGACAGAACCCTGTGCCCCAGCCGGGACTAGAACCCAGGGTGCCAGCGCCACAGGCAGAGTATTAGCCAAGTGAGCCGCGGCGCCGGGCCCTAGAATGTCCTGTAAATGTTTGTTAGGTCCATTTGCTCGGTGGTACATTTCAACTCCAATGTATATTGATTTTTGTCTGGATGATCTGTGCATTAAGGAGAATGGTGTGTTGAAGTTGCCCAATGGATGAGTCTATTTCTCTATTTAGGTCCAAAAGTATTGCCTGTGCATATCTGGGTAGTCCTGTGTTGGGTGCATATATATTTTTTATTTTTTAAAAAGATTTATTATTTACTTGAAAATGAGAGTTACACGGAGAAAGGAGGTGAGGCAGAAACAGGGTCTTCCATCTGCTGGTTCACTCCCCATATGGCAGCAACAGCCAGGGCTGCACTGATTGATTCGAAGGGGGGCCAGGATCTTCTTCCAGGTCTCCCACACCGGTGCAGGGGCTCAAGGACTTGGGCCATCTTCTACTGCTTTCCCAGGCCATAGCAGAGAGCTAGATCAGAAGAGGAGCAGCCAGCAATAGAACTGGCACCCATATGTGATGCTGGCGCTTCAGGCCAGGGCGTTAGTCATTACTTTGATTTCTGTTTTTGGCATAGATTCCCTGCAGTTCAGCATCTAATTCTGGAGGAGTTCTTTTGGAGGCGTCATGCTACCTTGCTTCTTGTTTCCTGTGTCCCTACATTGACATCTGTGCCATCATTCCTCCTTTATGGAGTAGGCCTTATTGGAAAAGAGTGTAGGATATCACTTGGCTTATTGGTGTGATTGAGGTGAGCCCAGGAGTATAGTCTGAGTGATTTCTTTTGTCTTAATTGATGTCATTTGTATAACTCACACAGTGGTCTAGTCTGCTGCATTCACAGGGATAGAAGTGTGGCTTTGAGATGAATATGGATTTCCTAGCATGTGTATCTTCTGTCCACACAGAGTTGTATGTCACTCTCCCTGGGAGTTATGATAGGGCTGTATTCTTGGTGCTGAGGGAGACAAAGGTGGCTTTCCCCTTGTCACAGTGACAGGCCTGACACTAGGGCTTGTGGCACAAATTGTGTGGCTCTAGGACTGTGTGTTGTGGAGGGGCCTTATGGTAGAGTCCACTGGTACTGTGGCTTATAACACTTGACAGTCCTGGTCCTGGGACTAAGGGGCGTGAACTGAACCCCATCCAATCAGGGGGTTCTGCTCTGGCAGGTTTGAGCTCAGGGAGGTAGAAGGCAGATGGGTTCTTCCCTAGGTCCAAAGGGTAGGTTCCAGTGGGATTCAGAAATTCAGAACTAATTGTTACAGTCCTGGTGTTACAGGGTCAGTGGGGTCATTACCCAGGTCTCCCGGAGCAGCAGATTTTTTTACAGGCTGCTGCTTGTGCCAGCCTCCAGAAGCTAAGAGGAGTGTCCCGGCTCATGTAGAGAGAGCATAGCTCCGGGGCTGTTGCACCAAAACTCGCACTGCTGCAGGATGCAGGGAGTCTGTGCTTTGCCCCGCATGTTGCCCTGACTCCAACTGATTGGTTCTGATAGGAACAGAGGGCAGCATGTGGCTTCCCTTCTCCAAGCCTAGCAGCTGCTCAGACCCTCATCAGCTTCCCAGGGGGAGTAACGGTCAGTGGGTGACGGTGGGATTCCCTCTCAGCGGAACGTCAGGCAGTTTCTTCCTACCTTGACTGGTAAGATGGTGTCTTCTCTCCTCTTGGTTTTAGCAGTTCTATGTACAAGCCTGTATGGTGATGCAAGAATTTATCATCATTTGTAACTTATACCAGTAATTGATCCTATATTGCTTTATTTGTGCTGTTAGAGGTGAGGAAGGGAAATATTCTTTCAAGCCGCAAGTAATATTTTTGGGGCACTGTTTATTTTTTAGGGACAGTAAAAGCCTTTGTAGTCTGATCTGTCCTTGATTTTTGTGGTATCAAAAGTGTAAGTCATTGTTGAGCAGCTCAAATCAATGGAACAGGGCTTCTTAGGGCAGAAGTTTCTTCATTTGCAAACTGCAGTGGGGACATTGCTGACAGAGAACCACACGCCAGTTTCCACTCTGAGCTTATGGTGTTAGTGCATTCCACTTTACAGCCGAGTTCTCACCTACTCACCTCTGCTGCTGTAATTCAAAACCAGGCCTAGCCCCCACCACAAATTTATCTACAAAAAGTCTTAAGGGCAGGCCCTTGGCTGGCGCTGCGGCTCACAAGGCTAATCTTCTGCCTACGGCGCCAGTACTCTGGGTTCTAGTCCTGGTTGGGGTGCTGGATTCTGTCCCGGTTGCTCCTCTTCCAGTCCAGCTCTCTGCTGTGGCCCAGGAAGGCTGTGGAGGATGGCCCAAGTGCTTGGGCCCTGCACCCGCATGGGAGACCGGGAGAAAGCACCTGGCTCCTGGCTTCAGATCAGCGCAGCACGCCGGCTGTAGCAGCCATTTGGGGGTGGTGAACCAACGGAAGGAAGACCTTTCTCTCTGTCTCTAACTCTGCCTGTCCAAAATGAAAAATTAAAAACGGCAGGCCCTGGTTTGCTAATCTCCACTTTATACCATTGAAACTTAGAAAGTGGGACTGAAAATAAAATGGTAGACAATAAATTATAAAAGCAGAACAAAAGCAGCGTTGTTTACCAAGAACAGATCTGGTCAGTTACTTTCCTGTTGAAAGTATCCTGTACTCAGCCAGCACTGCTCTCACATTCCATCAAGGAGAGCAAATCACAGGTCTTGTGCTGCATTCTGTGCTGCCACTCTAGTCCCGGAACCTGTTCACTGGCTGCGCGAGTTACGTAGGTGTAAATGCAGGTATTACCTTCACCTCTGCTGTGACTACTAAGTAAGGCAATTTCTGAGTTACTGAATTACATCTGCAATGGTGGAAGATACTGCACACGTTTCTTAGCTCTTTGTGAAGTTCTTTCCACTCCAGTTGTCAGTACATGTATCCCGTAGCACCCTCACGCCAGTGACAGAACGTGCTGTTATGTTTGTCCTCTGGTAACTGCCCTGCAGAAGGTGACTGCTGCTTTGTGCTTGCCTCCCTTTAGCAAGAAAACAAAGGCCTGAGAGAGATCCTTCAAATAACTCGAGAATCGTTTCTGAACCTTAGGAAAGATGACGCATCAGAAAGTACGTCACTGTCAGCATTAGTGACCAACAGTGACCTGAGTCTGAGAAAGAGCTGAAGAGCCCCACGTCTGCACTCACCTGGCTCCCGAGGTCACTAGGACCGACCTATGCATCAGTGAATCAATGACGGAAAAGACCACTCAGTCTTAATCCACCCTTTGTTTGTTTCTAACATGTACAGTACACTGGCTAAGAGACAGCAACAGAAAATGTGTAGTTAATGGTTATGACTATTCCAAACAGAATGGAGAAGTGGAAACTGAACGCTGTTAGCTGGGGATGAAAGGTTTCCACGACTGCTCAGCATAAAGAGCTTAGATAAACTTCAATATTCCCAGTACATGGGAATCCACAGAGTTATCCCAATTTAAAGTATTTATTTTTGCCATACTTCTTCAAGTGGAAGATCCTTTTAGTAAATTTTACCCTTTTTGTTTGGTGTCAGAAGTGAAACAGCTTACGGACCATGAGACTTCAACTTTAATGATTATCTAATTTCCCATTAATTTCAGTTTTTGTCTAAGAAAATTTGGTTTTAAAGGATGTGGGAATGTTTTACATGTACCTTAAGAGAGGTGATTTAATTTTGTCCTGATACTTACCTAATAATTGTCTATAACTCGCTGAAGTGTATGAAATGTCATTTCAGGAATGAAAGAGGAAGGAATACTACTTTCTAAGAAAGAAAAATCTTATAATAAACATTTAGTAGGTTAAACTACTTCTTGGAAAGAATAAGTTTTGGTTATAAGTCAGAAACAAAGATGAGATTTTTCTCTGGTTGATGTTCAAGGATACTACATAGTTCGTTTATCTTACAGAGTTGAAACGTGTAATAGAGCAAGATAAGCCAAGTAATTTCAAAGTAAGTTGGGAATTCCTCTGGCTCATAGCACCCTTTTATCAAATCAAAATCTCAAAATTTCTAAATCAATTTTTAAGCTTGATCTGGTCTTGGAACCTGTAAGACTTTCTTATAACATTTCAGTTGAAAGTCTATGGATTCAGAAATACATTTTCTGTTTTTTAAAAAATAACAGATACACAGTACATAATTTTTTTAAAAACTACCAGATATATAAATGAGCTTTAACATTAGCTGAAACCTAAATTTTTCATACTATGTGGTAATTATAGAATAAAAGAATGAGTGTCAGATATAATTAAATATATTCATTTATATAAATACATATTAAAGTTAGCACAAGTAGAGATTCTACTTTGGAGTATATAATTTGTTAAGCAAATATTACTTCCCATGGTAACTTTTATGTATAATTTCATATATTGGAACAATGCAAAACTACTTTTTGCTTCAGAATTTTTCTATCTTAAGGTTGGGGGAGTGGGGCTGACTGATAGGAAAGGGCTAGTGGCCCAGACATTAATTGGATTTCTGTTCTCATTCAGAGGCCTTACTTGATATTTTATAAATAAAAGGCACTTCTTTTAAACTTTTGTATTGGTTTTGGGCAAATATCCCTTAATTTGACGGCTCATTCACTGAAACAGTTTTTATCCCAAGTAAGGATTAAAGAAAATAAGCTACACAATTGAGGTTAAGTCTGAGGCAGTACATTGAGGCAGCTCTGTTAACAAATGTTACTTGATAAATACTTATTTTTATAAACAATTAAGTTAATTTATTCTTGGTCTTCTTGCTTGGATACCTTTATGGTCTTGTTGTAAGACATTTACTTTTTTTTTTTGTGACAGTTTTCCATCCTGTACTTTTTTTTAAACTGAACCTTAAATGTATGTCTTGAGAGTACATACTGCATAGGAGCCTATTTTGTCAATAAAGATGAGTAATTAAAATTGATATGGTCTCCAATTTAATTTGAAAACAATGTTCTTATGTATTTTAAAGTCTCTTCTTAGCACAAAACTAGGAACTCAGAAACTATTTCTTAGGAGTAGAGTTTCTGAGCCACTCTCTGATCCTGCAAACCTTTTTATCCTCTGTAGCAGGCTGACCCAGGTCTCTGCCCCACAGCTCCCGGAAGGGAAGTCCAAGATGTGACGTGATTTCCTGGAAATGTGTGACCCTATCTGGAATACGGCCTTTGCAGATGTAATTAAGGGTCCCAAACAGGATTACCTTGGATGACTCGTGTCCTTAGGAAAGAAGCAGAGGATATTATTGGAAAAATTAAAGAGGAGGAGGGAGGGAGAGAAGTATCACTGTATTAGAATTTTGTCTATGAAATACATGAAACCTGTTCTCTTTATGTTAACAATAAAAACAGGAGATTAGAAGCCCAGAGATTTAGAGAGGAAGCCATGGGAAGGCAGACTGTTGGAAGCCAGGAACCCTGAGGGTGGTCAGCCCCCAGCAGAGGCCAGCAGAGAGGTTTGGAAGGCACTCTCCCTGACCAGAATTCTGGCCTCCCGAACTGTGAACAGCTGCACCCCGTCACCCGTAGGAGACAGACCATCTGTTATTTCTCATCAGTCAGCTGTGTTTATTTCCTAGAATGAGTACAGTTATCAGGGAAACTGCTCAAATATATTCTGATAGACTTTAATATCTGGGTAACTTCCAGTATTTTTTATTTTTAAACTGTTTCAATGAAAAATGGAAGATCACAGATCCCTAACTTAATTTGGGATGGCTGCCACTACCTCTTTTTGATTGCTGGAGTGAAACATGAAGATCACTTCTAACTGGAGCCTGAGGGGACAGCTTCCTTCTGCCTTGCTGCCTGTTCCTCTTTGTTCCTTCATGCTCTCTGCCTTCTACGCTAGAGGATTGCCAGGCTAGGTCATCCTGCCTGTCCTCTGCTCAGACCCTTGGTGGTCTCTCCTAGTCTCATAAATTTAAATATCGCGTTGGAGCTGGAAGACTCCCAGATGTACAGTGTTGGCATAAACCTGTCATTAACTCAGCCACCTGTGACTGTCAAATGTTTCAGAGTTAGCATGTCCAACATGAAATTCCCCGTCTTACTCCCGGACCCTCTCCATACCCTGTCCCCATTCCAGCCAGCAACAGTTCCATCTTTCTAGCTGCTAAGGCCAAAATCCTTGGTGGTGCCTTGTGACTCCACTTTGTCTTTTCTCTTGGATGCAATTCATCAGCAGATCCTGCTGGTTCTTCAAGATCTATTGGAAACCTGCCATCCCTTGTCATCTTCATTGCTACCTCCTGATCAAAGCCCACACGCTGGTAGGGCGGGAGTGGACAGAGTGGATTCCCCCCAAATACCTGCAGCAAGGGAATAGTTATTTTATGTGCATACTATGGCTTGAAGATTATAGCAAGGGAAAGAAAATAAACTTGTGTAGTAAATTAAAAGCTTCATATTAAATTACACAAATACATTAGTTTCGAGTTGATGTCTCTTGGAAATTTTTTTTCCATTTGAGGAAAGAAAGGTGTTATTTTAGAGCAATCAAAGCCTTTCAGAAAACACAGCCTATATAAACCAATATTAACAGAATGGTAACCAGAATAAAACAGACCGTCTTGAAATTCAGGATCTGTTTCTTGAGTGTGAGACACCTAGGAAGACTACAGCTGGGCTTTCTCAACACTACAAAGCTGCAGGCTGGGTCATGATTGTGGCTGTCCATCACCCAGCTGGTTCAAACAGGTCAGCCTCCTCTCTCCCCCTCCCTCGCAACATGTCAAGTATGACCAGCACCCCAGACCTTAGCATCTTCGCTTTCTACCTAGAGCTGCAGATGCATGGTGCTGGGTTTGGGCTACTAGGAAGCGCAGAGGCTCTGACCACAGGTCTCAAATTGCAGCAGCACCCTGGTCAGGCGCTCAGTGCTCCAGGTTATTCCCATGAGTGAGTGAACGAGCTTCTGAAATGCTAACTCTCCTTGGACTAGGTTTGTCTTATGACCTGTTTCAGTGAGCACAGAGGGATTTTGTTCCTGATTCATGCAAGACTCCAGACATACACAGAAGCTCAAAATACTGTTCATTCAGCAGGAAGAGAACCACTGGTGTTTATCACTGAAGGCATTCAGACGTGGAGCTGGTTTGCAAGCAAAGATGAGTAGCTATAATGTGGAACAGAAGGCTGTCCTGTGTAGAAAAAACCTCAGGCATTAAGAAGCATGGTGACAGATGCTTTTACAGAGAAAGGCAGTCCTTAGCACTGCCCTGAAATTATTCCTTTAGAAACCAGACACATTCCAAACAGCACACCTTTTAACAAAGAAATCGTGATGCAAGGAAGTTCTCCCCCAAAAGGAGTTGAGAACAGGTGTTTGGCCTAGCAGTTAAGATACCCTTGTCCCATGTCAGAGTCTAGGATCAATTCCCAGCTCCAGCTTCTTGCTGAGACTTTGGAGGGGCAGAGATGGCTCCAAGTTGTAAGGTTTTTGCCATCCACACAGGAGACCTGCATTGTGTTCCTGGCTCCCGGCCCCAGCCCAGCCCCAGCTGTTGTTATCTGGAAAGTGAACCAATGGATGGGGGCTCTGTGTTTGTCATTCTCTCACCTACATACATACATTTTTTTTTTTAATGATAAAAGTAGTTGGGGCCTGATTCAATTGCCGAAAACACTGCAGGACAACTGGGGAACAAAGGCACACCCAGCAGTGTCTCCCTGGCTTCCAGATGCACCAGATACAGGCATCCAGCCCCTCCCAAGGCATGTCTGCTGCTGTGAGGCAGGCAGGTCAGAGCACAGGAGAGCAAGTGCAGGCAGCAGGAAATCCATCAACAAGAGGAGCCAGGAGGTGTATGAGAGGTGAACAGGCCTGTCGCCCCTTGAAGACTCCCAGGTGGAAAGGTAGCTGCAGCCATTCTTCAGTCTCCTGCCCAGGACAGCTGTTCCGCCTGGGGACAGTAGAAAGACTCAGGGAGAGAGGCAATGGCTTAGGGCCACCACCTCCCAGGGAGCAACTGCTGAACGCCAGGGTGCTGGGAGGAACAAGCATTCATTCTCTGGGCAGTTTCGTGGAAGCAGTTACCATTTAACTGAGAGAAGCCTGACAACACCTGCTTCAAGGAAGGGCTAACCCAGTGAGAATGGGGTCCCACCAACTGCCACCAGGAAGGGCTGGGACAGCCTAGGGCCTTCAGGTTCTGTGTGTGCTCCGCCCACCACTGGCTGGCTGCTGCCCCACTCTCTCCAATGTCATCACCTCAAGGAATTCTTGCCAGCACCCTAGCTCCTACTCCCACCCCCTAATAAATGTTCATCACATGCAGAACCTCTTTTGTACATGCACATCTTAGTATGCGTCTCACTTATGACACTCCAGACTGAGATCAAAGAGCATGCCTGATCCCCTGCCATCTTCCTCCTAGTGCCCCAGGCAATGCCCAACATGCAGGCACTCAACAAGTAAAGGTGTGGTAGTCAGCTTTCCAGTCCTGTAACAAAATACCTAAAGGAGAATGGCAGCCTTGGCTTACAGTTTCGGAGGTTCAAGTCCAAGATCAGGCAGTCCTCCTGGCGTGGACTCTGATGCGGGCAGATGGCAGTGGCAGAGCGTGTGCAGAGTAAGGCTCACAGGGCGAGCCAGGAGGCTCACACACAGGCTTTCCAAACAACCCTCTTCCAAGGGCACACTTGCAACAACCCAAGGAAGGACTTTCCATGAGGCCCTGCCTCCCAACAGCACCATTCTGGGGACCATACCTTTAACACATGGGCCTTCAGGGCCAGTCAACATCCAAACTATAGCACAAGTCAAAGGCCACTTTATATTAATTATATACTACAATACATTACAATATATATTAAATTTTTTTATTTGCCTCTTGAGCTGGTATAGCTTTACCCAGACCTGCCACCCCTCCCAGTATAACAATTACTTGGAAGTCCTTGAATAACTCCCGAATTTCCACTAACTTGAGCAGCTCTTTATGTCCATTTCAGAAAGAGCGGGACTCGGCCGGCGCCGCGGCTCACTAGGCTAATCCTCCGCCTAGCGGCGCCGGCACACCGGGTTCTAGTCCCGGTCGGGGCGCCGGATTCTGTCCCGGTTGCCCCTCTTCCAGGCCAGCCCTCTGCTGTGGCCAGGGAGTGCAGTGGAGGATGGCCCAGGTGCTTGGGCCCTGCACCCCATGGGAAACCAGGAAAAGCACCTGGCTCCTGGCTCCTGCCATCGGATCAGCGCGGTGCGCCGGCCGCAGCGCGCCGGCCGCGGCGGCCATTGGAGGGTGAACCAACGGCAAAGGAAGACCTTTCTCTCTCTCTCTCTCTCTCTCACTGTCCACTCTGCCTGTCAAAAAAAAAAAAAAAAAAAAAAAAAAAAAAAAAAAAAAAAAAAAAAAAAAGAAAGAGCGGGACTCGTACATAGAGCGGCCAAAGTGCCGAGAGGCATTCAACCCACAAGTAGGACAGACGTGTTTGAAAAGGGTGTTACTGTGCGAAGGCTACCAGAGTGAAATGGCTCAAACAACAGAATCCAGTTCTTCACTGTCTGTGATCAAATGCCGGCGGGGCCGGCTTCCTCCGAAGCTTTTCTCCTCTGCTGCAAGTGGACGCCCCCCTGCTGCCTTGTCCCAGCGCCCTCTGGGCAATGGCCGTGAGGGGGCCCTGGACATCCCATCTCAGAGACACCGGTCAGACGGGTCCAGGGCCCAGCCCCAAGGCCTCAATTTATGCACCTCTTTAAAGGTCCCATCTCCCAATCATACAGTTGCATTCTGAGGTTCCAGGCGTTAGGATTTCAACTAATAAACTTCAAGTTTGAAACACAGGTAGCCACCCTCCTAACAAGGGCTAAGGCACCATTCTAAGGAAACTACAGCCAATAATAAAGGCTACTAAGAGATATGAAGCATATCACCAAGGAGTGACCTTGATACCAAAATGTTCTAGGCAAAAGCTGCCGTGGAGGTGTTCA